CACACGTGGTCACTGTCTATAGTGATCACAACCATCTAGTATATCTCCAAGCCATGAAGAACCACAATACGAGGCTCATGAGATGGAGTCTACGACTGCAACCCTATTCTCTCAGAATATTACACATTGCCGGCAAAGAAAATAAGTTGGCAGACTCTTTATCAAGAGTATAAAACTCATAATTATAATTATTTTTCATTATCACACTGGCCGATTCCCACCAAGGCAGGGTGGCCAGAAAAAGAAAAACTTTCACCATCATTCACTCCATCACTGTCTTGCCAGAAGGGTGCTTTACACTACAGTTTTTAAACTGCAACATTAACACCCCTCCTTCAGGTAGGTAGTAGGTTGGTAGACAGCAACCACCCAGGGAAGTACTACCGTCCTGCCAGATGACTGTGAAACAGAAACCTGTAACTGTTTTGCATGATGGTACGATTGCTGGTTTCTTTTTCTGTCTCATAAACACGCTAGATAACAGGGATATCTTGTTACTCCTACTTACATTTTGGTTACACTTCACAGACACGCACATGCATATGCATGCATGCATGCATATATATAATATATTATATATATATATATATATATATATATATATATATATATATATATATATATATTTTATATATATATATATAACAATATACACATATACATACATCTAGGTTTTTTCTCCTTTTTCTAAATAGCTCTTGTTCTTCTTTATTTCTTCTATTGTCCATGGGGAAGTGGAAAAGAATCTTTCCTCCGTAAGCCATGCGTGTCGTATGAGGCGACTAAAATGCCAGGAGCAAGGGGCTAGTAACCCCTTCTCTTGTATATATTACTAAATTTAAAAGGAGAAACTTTCGTTTTTCCTTTTGGGCCACCCCACCTCAGTGGGATACGGCTGGTACGTTGAAAGAAAGAAAGATTAGGTTAGGATGTTAGGGACCTGTGGTAACCCCTTTCAAGCTCTTTTTTTTATCCCCTGAAGTGAGTTTTTTTTTTACTGAGGGAGTGTGGGATACCGTCCTCCAGCACTTTGGACCTATGCTAGCCCGACTGTCTGCTGTCTCGCTCTGAGTTTAGGGTTTGGCTTTTTGTGGCAAATAAAGCTGAGCTCTATCTAAGAGTTGGATGGTTGAGAGGAAAGGTGGTCCCATTATTTGGTGCCATGGAGGCACGGTTACCACTGGGAGGTGGGAGCCTAATCCTGAGCCCTCTCGGGGTGGGGGTGTGGCCTGCAAAGAGTGCGTAACCTTTATTCAGCGCATGTACACTCCCTCATTGAAAGGCTATCTCCCCCAACCAGCGAACCAGGTACTAGGGTTGATGATGGGGCCCCGTTGTTCAATCAGTACCCAGGTTCCAGCCAATGAGAAGATGGTTTTGACAATCGCAGAGGTGATGTGGGTACCACTCACCTGTCTGCCCTTGTCATTCCTGTTCTAGAGCTGGTTGAAGCACAGTCTGCTCTCTAGTGGCTTCTATTCTGCCTTGCTTACTGTGGAGTGCACTAATATCTATTGTTGTACATAGTGTACATATGTCTGTTCTAAATAGGTGAAGGATAATACAAGTCAAAAGCTTTTCTGCTGTGTTTATTTTGCTCCCTTTACACCCAGGATAACAGGCCTTTGGGACTCCTGGGTTGTAATAATTGGCAAGGATTGAACCCATTCTTAACAAATTACTTAGACTATACAACAAACATGTTCCTATAAAAACGAAACAGATCACAAACAAACGGCTTGGTTGCCCATGGCTAACCAGCACCATTCTGAAATCCATTGACAAGAAACACCAATATGAAAAGCAATATAGACAGGGCTTAATACACAAAGATATTCTTAAACACTATTCATCAGCTCTCACCAAAGTAATAAAGAAAGCCAACAACTATACCCACTCCAGTAGATTCACAGACACTAGAGGAGATATAAAAAAGACTTGAAAACCCCTCTCTCAGTTCTAGGGACCCACAAACTGAAAAAAAACAAGAATATTGTCCTAATTAAACCTAAGAAACACCACTAAAATCCCACTGACACAGCTAACAAGATAACGAACTCTTCTCAACCACAGGATCTAATCTCGCCAATCAAATCCCACATGCTAATGCCCATGCCGGGGACTACCTAGATGGGAATTTCCCAATTCCTTCTATCTTGCACCAACTGAGCCCTCGGAAGTCACCGAGATTATAAAGTCACTTAAAAACAACTCAGCGAATCTGTCTAATGTCCCACCATTACTGTACAAGCGAGCGGCCCATATCCTTTCGCATGTTATTTCATTACTTTTTAACAAGTCACTAGAAACTAGCACCTTCCCGAAACTACTCAAGATGGCAAGGGTTACACCAATACATAAAGGTGGTGACCCTACAGACTTAAACAACTATAGGCCAATATCAAACTTACCATTGCTATCCAAAATCTTTGAGGAACTCGTGCACTGGAGACTATATTCATTTATAACAGCACAAAGCATACTCAACCCCTGCCAATTTGGATTTAAGAAAAATAAAAGCACTAATGATGCAATCATAAAAATGCTAGATCTGCTTTACACAGCATTGGAAAATAAGGAATATCCACTAGGAATTTTTATTGACCTAAGAAAAGCTTTTGACACAGTAGACCACGACATCCTACTCCACAAACTTGACCATTATGGTATAAGAGGCCATGCGCTTGCTTATTTCAAATCTTACCTTACTAATAGGTATCAGTATGTTACCATTAAAGACACAGCATCAACAACACAGCCACTTGATACTGGAGTTCTGCAGATAAGTGTCCTTGGTCCCCTGCTCTTCCTCATATACATCAATGATCTTCCAAACGTATCCCAACACCTGAAACCCATTCTCTTTGCTGACGACACGACTTATGTCATCTCTCACCCTAATCTTGCCACCCTCGACACCATTGTTAACGAGGAGCTGATCAAAATATCGACTTGGATGACAGCCAATAAACTTACGCTTAACACTGACAAAACCTACTATATTATGTTTGGTAGCAGAGCAGGAGATGCGCAAATTAACATTAAGATCGACAACACTCTAATTACCAGACATAATGAGGGCAAATTCCTAGGCCTATACCTTGACAACAACCTGAATTTCAGCACCCATATCCAACACATAACCAAAAAAGTATCCAAAACAGTTGGGATCCTCTCCAAGATACGATACTACGTGCCGCAAAATGCCCTTCTCACACAAATACCACTCACTTATTTATCCATACCTCACCTATGCTATTTGTGCTTGGGGATCAACTGCAGCAACACACCTAAAGCCAATAATAACCCAACAAAAAGCTGCAGTAAGAATAATCACTAAATCCCATCCCTGGCAACACACCCCCCCACTCTTCATAGATCTAAACTTACTCCCTGTTCAAAACATCCACACTTACTACTGTGCAATCTACATCTACAGGACCTTAAACTCCAATATCAACCTTGACCTAAAACGCTTTCTTGATAGTTGTGACAGAACCCACAGGCATAACACCAGACACAAACATCTCCACGACATTCCCCATGTCCGACTAAACCTTTACAAAAATTCAATGTATGTCAAAGGCCCTAAAATCTGGAACACCCTACCTGAGAACTCTAGAACTGCAGACACACATTCATCACCTTCAAAACTACCATTAGAAAACATCTTATCTTCCTGATAAACCCCATCAACTAACTACACGAATACCACCTGGTGGTTCACACTTACACTCACTCACCCATTTGACCATAAACAGAAATATTAATCTCAATCTTAAAATAATGAATCCTATGATACTCCAATACTGAAACTATGTACTGTGCCAAAACAAAAGCATTCACATTGCTAAACTCACAAACTAGTATTTAGTCACTTAGCCATAATACCAACTTACCCCATAATTTGTAATATTTTAAAATGATGAATTAAATTAAGTCTGCCCGAAATGCCTAGCCATGCTAGGCGTTCTAGTGGTACACTCTGTAATCATTATTTAACTACATGTAAACCACACAACAACCAAATTCTGTAAATTCAACATTGTAATCTTTATAGAGAATAAACTTTGAATTTGAATTTGAATGGTAGAGTGTAGTAAAACTCCCTATTTCAGGGTGAGCCGAATAAGAAACACTTTCACCACCATTCACTCTAATACTGTCTTGCCAGAGGCACAGTTCAGGTATGGTCCATTATGGATTTAGCTTGTCTCCATGAATGTAATAATATACAGGTACAGTATTTGTGGAGAGATTCCATGGGGAAATGGAAAAAATCCTTCCTCCGTAAGCCATGCGTATTGTAAGATGCGACTAAAATGCTGGGAGCAAGAGGCTAGTAACCCCTTCTCCTGAATAACTTACTAAATGTAAAAAGAAGAAAAACTTTATACTTTCAATATCACTCACTCCATCACTGTCTGGCCAGCGGCATGCCTATACTACAGTTCAAAAACTGCAACATATCTCCACCCTTCCTTCAGAGTATAGACACTATACTTCCCATCTCCAGGACTCAAGTCCCACTAACCAGACTTGTCTTGCAATTAAGTTTTCTATTACTGCCATCTTCTACTGAGGCGGGGTGACCCATAAAGGAAAAAACTAAATTTTTTTTCTTTTTTACATTTAGCAATTTATACAGGAAAAGGGGTTACTACCCCTTTGCTCCCGGCATTTTAGTCGCCTCTTATGTCACACATGGCTTACAGAGGAAGAATTCTGCTCCACTTCCTCATGGAGAATTTTCCAGCTTATAATATCTATTAATTTCGACTTTGTTTATGGAGGACACCTGTGTAGTTTAATGAGCACCTTCAAGCAAGAGAGGCATCATATACTGAATTAACAGCAAGAGCATAATGTTAAATATAACAGACAATTAAAATGTTGCTTCAGGCAGACAAAACTTACAAGTTCTTCTAAGAGATCTTCTTTTGATATAGCGTTGAATTTAACAGACAATAATAAAGTAACTTCAAAAAGACATAACTTACAAGTTCTTCCAGGAGATCTTCCTTTGATATTCCCGGTTCATTCCAAGAGTCCTCACTGGCACACACTAAGTGAGCAACAATACCAGCAGCAAAGTAGCTCACATCAACATTTGGAGACCATAAAAGTGTCCTGTGGAAGCAATATATTTTTATAGTGTTTATAATGTATATGAAAAACATAACTCAAACTTAGTACAATATAGTTAAGTTTTACACACACAGACAAGCACAAATACGCACAAACTCGCACAGACAGACCCTGCAACCACATAAAGGTGAGCGTGACATTTGCACATGCACACAAAATTCTGAAACTGATAAACAAAAAAATCTCAGTATCAACAGAATTAAGCTAATAAATACCCAAAGCAATCCTAAAGAGATGTAACATTAGTAAACCTTATTTCCGCCAAGTAACCCATTAAGTTGACAAAAATGATAAAACTACACATCCAGAATAAGATGGAGCTGATGCTTAGTCCTGTGTATATAACAAACCTAATGGTGCTCACCTTTCGGTAAAAAGTTAACTGAACTACCCAGCACCTTCACAAACCAATGATCAATGAAAGATACTGTGAATATTTTAATGCCTATAGCTGAGTTTATCCTGGGTAGTAGGTTGGTGGACAGCAACCGCCCAGGGAGGTACTACCGTCCTGCCAAGTGAGTGTAAAACAGAAACCTGTAATTGTTTTATACGATGGTAGGATTGCTGGTGTCTTTTTTCTGTCTCATAAACATGCAAGATTTCAGGTAAGTCTTGTTACTTCTACTTACACTTAGGTCACACTACACATACATGTACAAGCATGCATGCATGCATGCATGCATATATATATATATAATATATATATATATATATATATATATATATATATATATATATATATATATATATATATATATATATATATATATATATATATATATATTATATATATATATATATATATATATATATATATATATATATATATATAATATACACACACACACCCTCTGGGTTTTCTTCTATTTTCTTACTAGTTCTTGTTCTTATTTCCTCTTATCTCCATGGGAAAGTGGAACAGATTTCTTCCTCCATAAGCATGCATGTCGTAAGAGCTAACTAAAATGCCAAGAGCAAGGGGACAGCAACCCCCTTTCCTGTATACATTACTAAAGTTATGGGCCACCCTGCCTCGGTGGGGAACGGCCGATTTGTTGAAATAAAGAAGAAACATGCAAGATTTCAGGTATGTCTTGCTACTTCTACTTACACTTAGGTCACACTACACATACATGTACAACCATATATATACACACCCCTCTGGGTTTTCTTCTATTTTCTTACTAGTTCTTGTTCTTGTTTATTTCCTCTTATCTCCATGGGGAAATGGAACAGAATTTTTCCTCTGTAAGCCATGCATGTTGTAAGAGGCGACTACAATGTCAGGAGCAAGGGGCTAGTAACCCTTTCTGATGTATACATTATTAAATTTAAAAAAAGTAACTTTCGTTTTTCTTTTGGGCCAGCCTGCCTTAGTGGGATACAGCCGGTTTGTTGAAAGAAAAAATATCTATTGGTAAGCACAGAAAGGCCCAGCATATACAGCAGCTATTTTCTATTGAAACTGGGGTTTTCCTCCCTAAAATTTTGTTTCTAAGGTACAGCCTCTCCTCACTTAACAACGGAGTTCCATTCCTAATCCATGTCATTAAACGAATTCGTCACTGAGGAGCATACTAACGGTAGTGAGTTTGTGTCAACCATCTTTGATATTGTTTTAATGTCACCTTTGTACCATTTATAATATTTCTGGTATATTTTTAAATGTTTCTCATCCTCATATCTGACATAGACAAGGATGTCAGCCACAGCACCGTGTCTTCCTTTGCAGATGACACCCGAATCTGCATGACAGTGTCTTCCATTGCAGACACTGCAAGGCTCCAGGCGGACATCAACCAAAACTTTCAATGGGCTGCAGAAAACAATATGAAGTTCAACGATGAGAAATTTCAATTACTCCAATATGGTTTCGATTCTAGATTCTTATGACCAGAGTCTTTGGTAAGATGGGTAAGGATAGAAATAGTGGAAAAGGGTGGGAGGGAATAATGAGGTAGGATATAAAAGGTCAGTGGCCCAACCACTTTGGTGCGATTTAACCCGTAAACAGTCCAAACGTATATATACGTTCTCTACCGTAGTGCCCCAACTTTTTTGAGAATTTTTTTTTTTTTTTAATAGGAAAAAAGAGCATATGGTACCTAGGCATCCCCAATTACTTTAATATGGTGCACAGTGAGTGCTCACACCCATTCTCTCATGTCTACAAGACTCAGGCTTATCGTGGCAATGTTAAATGTATGACAAATAAAACACATCCAGTGGAACCTCAAAAATCGAACTTAATCTGTTCCAGGAGCTAGTTCTAAATTCGAAAAGTCTGAAATTTGAAGCAATATTTCCCATAAGAAATAATGGAAATACAATTAATCCGTTCCAGAAACCCAAAAATATTCACACAAAAAATACATTTTATAGAGATTAATTACACTTTTACATACAACGAATACTATAGCTTTTAATTATGTATAGTAATACATATAAAATAACATTTTTGTCTTACCTTTATTGAAGATTGGTGATGGCATGTGGAAGATAGGGAGGAGGAGAGAGGGAGTTCGGGTTAGTGTTTGGAAGGACAATCCCCCTCCATGAGGACTTCAGGTAAAGCCCTCTCTGGGGTTACTTCCTTTCTCTGTCTTTTAATGCCACTAGGACCAGCTTGAGAGTCACTGGACCCCTGTCTCGCAAAATAACTGTCCACCATCCTCTGTTTCTGGCGCCTCTTTAACATTTCCCTAAAATGGGACATGGTTCTGTCACTGAACTTGTTGCAAAGATGGCTTGTTTCAGCTTGCTCAGGGTGGTACTTCTGCACAAACATTTGAACATCATTCCACTTGGCACAAATCTCCTTAATCTTTGTAGAAGGCACCTCATCCACTCCCTCTTCCTCCTCCTCTGAAGCAAGTTCCTCAGCTGTGGTCTGATACTGCTCCAGATGAAGCTCTTGCAGCTCTTCAGTGGTTAGCTCTTCCCTGTGGTCCTCCACCAACTCTTCCACATCCTCACCACTCACCTCCAACCCCAGGGTGTTCCCCAATGCCACAATAGAGTCCACAATAGGCAGAGGGTGAGCTGGGTCAGGGTCAGGATCAGCCTCAAACCCTTCAAAATCCCTCTTTTGGACACAATCTGGCCACAATTGTCTCCAAGCAGAGTTCAAAGTCCTGGAAGTCACTCCCTCCCAAGCCTTACCTATAAGGCTTATGGAGCTGTAGATGTTGAAGTGATTCCTCCAGAACTCTCTTAGGGTCAACTTAGTGTCTGTGGTCGCTTCGAAGCACTTTTCAAACACTGCTTTTGTGTAGAGTTTTTTGAAGTTAGAAATGACCTGCTGGTCCATGGGCTGGAGGAGAGAAGTGGTGTTAGGAGGCAAGAACTTCACTTTTATAAAACTGGGTCCATGGGCTGGAGGAGAGGAGTGGTGTTAGGAGGCAAGAACTTCACTTTTATAAAACTGGGTCCATGGGCTGGAGGAGAGGAGTGGTGTTAGGAGGCAAGAACTTCACTTTTATAAAACTGGGTCCATGGGCTGGAGGAGAGGAGTGGTGTTAGGAGGCAAGAACTTCACTTTTATAAAACTGAAGTTCATGGGCTGGAGGAGAGGAGTGGTGTTAGGAGGCAAGAACTTCACTTTTATAAAACTGGGTCCATGGGCTGGAGGAGAGGAGTGGTGTTAGGAGGCAAGAACTTCACTTTTATAAAACTGGGTCCATGGGCTGGAGGAGAGGAGTGGTGTTAGGAGGCAAGAACTTCACTTTTATAAAACTGGGTCCATGGGCTGGAGGAGAGGAGTGGTGTTAGGAGGCAAGAACTTCACTTTTATAAAACTGGGTCCATGGGCTGGAGGAGAGGAGTGGTGTTAGGAGGCAAGAACTTCACTTTTATAAAACTGAAGTTCATGGGCTGGAGGAGAGGAGTGGTGTTAGGAGGCAAGAACTTCACTTTTATAAAACTGAAGTTCATGGGCTGGAGGAGAGGAGTGGTGTTAGGAGGCAAGAACTTCACTTTTAATAAAACTGAAGTTCATGGGCTGGAGGAGAGGAGTGGTGTTAGGAGGCAAGAACTTCACTTTTATAAAACTGAAGTTCATGGGCTGGAGGAGAGGAGTGGTGTTAGGAGGCAAGAACTTCACTTTTATAAAACTGAAGTCCTTAGACAAGAGGTCTAATAAGTTTGGAGGATGAGCAGGAGCATTGTCCATTAACAGGAGGCACTTGAGTGGCAATTTCGTTTCCTGGAGGTATTTTTTCACACTGGGGCCAAACACTTCATGGACCCACTCTTGGAAAATTTGCCTTGTGAACCACAAGACACATAACTTGTTCTTAAAGACATTGTTTTTCTTAAACACTCTGGGATTTTCTGAATGATACACAAGTAAAGGCTTCACTTTAAAATCACCACTAGCATTAGCACAGAACAAAAGAGTAAGCCTGTCTTTCATAGGCTTGTGTCCTGGCAGTGCCTTTTCCTCCTGTATGATGAAGGTCCTTTTTGGCATTTTCTTCCAGAACAAGACTGTTTTGTCACAATTAAACACTTGTTCAGGTTTGAATTCTTCACTGTCTATGTACCCCTTAAACTCCTGTATAAACTTCTCAGCTGCCCGTTTGTCTGAACTGGCTGCCTCACCATGTCTTACAACACTGTGTATGCCACTACACTTCTTAAATCTGTCAAACCAGCCTCTGCTGGCCTTAAATTCACTATCAGCACTGGTTCCAGGAGTTTTCTGTACCAGATCGGCATGCAACTTCCTTGCCTTTTAGCAAATAATCGTCTCTGAAACACTATCACCTGCAATCTCTTCATCCTTGATCCACACCAGCAACAACTTCTCAACCTCTTCAACTATTTGTGGTCTATTTTTGGTTAGCATATTAACACCTTTAAGAAGAAGAAAATTGTCAAAGTGGGAAGTCTGAATGTGCGTGGATGTTGTGCAAATGATAAGAAAGAGATGATTGTGGATGTTATGAATGAAAAGAAGCTGGATGTCCTGGCTTTAA